GACTCCTGAGGAAGCCTGCCACCACACACAGTTAACTGTAGACAGAGCTGTTAATAGCCTAAAACCGAAAGTTAGTAAGAGCCAGTGGATTTCTACTACCTCATCCGAACTGATTGACGCAAGAAGACTGATTCCGGCAAGCTCCGAATATGATGAGGAGCAAAAGCTGCTCAAACAGAAACTGACAAGAAGTCTTCGCGATGACCGTGAACAGTGGCGGGCGACAAAAGCGAAAGAGAAGGAAAAGGTATCGGCGATAGGTAACACCAAACAACTGCTTAGACTAATCAGGGAAACAGATGGCAAAAGGCAAATGATACGTGAAACAATCTCTGAGAAAAATGGCAGCATAATTAGCTCTCAGGATGGACGACTGGAAAGCTGGAAAGAGCACTACGAGGAGTAGTTTAATTGGCCTACAGCCACGCTCAAACTGACGAACATCCAACACCTCCCTGAATGGGATATAGACACCGGTGGCCTGCCCCTAACTGTCACGAATTTGAAACAAGGCAAAGCAGCGGGACCTGATGGAATGTCCCCAGAGGTGTTTAAGGGAGGCGGAGACAGTTTACTGTCTGCGTTAACTAAGGTATTAGGCAGTCTCTGGGAATAAGAGGAAGTCCCGTTAGGCTGGTGCAAGTCATTGATTATCCCAGTACAGAAACAATTTTAATATCTCCAGGATGTAAATAGCTGATGAGAAGCCAACGAAATAAATAATGATGCCATCTTACTCAGCACAAACTTGTTCTTTACTTTTTTTTACTTTACTTCGGCTATCTCCTACGGGAGGATGAGCCGGCTTCATGAACGTCTCGAATCATCGCTGCCCAGGCGCGGCGATCTGAAGCAAGGTTTTGCGATAGGGATATCCAATTCTTGTTCCACATACGGAGTCCGTAGACGGTTTGTAGCCCCAGGCACTCCATATCTGCCTTGACTGTACCAAGCCATGTCTTCAGCTGTCCGCCCCTGCGACATCGCCAAGATGGTAATGGCGAGGGATTTAGAACTGATTTGACCAGATCGTCATCTGGTCGGCGCAGAACATGGCCAAACCACCGAAGGCGGCGTTGTTGGACCAGTACTGGAATTTGGTTGATGTTGTAGCAACGACGACGCACTTCTTCGTTGGAGAGTTTGTCCTGCCAACGAACATGCAGAATGTACCTGAGACACCAATGGTCTAATACCTCGAGTCTGCGTAAATCTTCCGCGCGAAGAGGCCAGGTTTCACAGCCATACAGGAGAACGGGTCGTATGGAAGCTTGGTAGACCCGAATTTTAGTCCTGAGACTGATTTCTCTCTTGCTCCATAGAACGCTCCTCAGCTGTAGAAACGCATTCCGGGCGTTGGAGATTCGCGCATTCACTTCGTTTTTCGCTTGGCCGTTGGGGAGCATTATGGATCCCAGATATCTGAAGGATGGCACAATTTCAATAGGTGCTCCATTTAGGGATAAGATTTCATCATTGCTGGTGGATGTGTTCGAAAACATTTTGGTTTTGGAAGTGTTAATTTTCAAACCGATAGTAGGCGCGAGGTGGTTTATCTGGTCGAGCGCCTGTTGCATATCGGGGAAGTTTTCAGCTAACAGCACGACGTCGTCGGCGAATTCGAGGTCGGTTATGTGAATATCGGGCGAAAGTTGGACGCCGTGGTGCTCGGTTAGGGCGTGCCGCAAAATCCAATCAATTGTGAAATTGAACAGGATGGGGGATGCTGGACAACCTTGCCGGACACCGCTGGTTACCTCAAAAGTGCGGGACTCTTCACCGTTCACTCGGACTCGAGCTTTGGTGTTGGAGTAGTATGACCTGAGCAGGTTGATTAGCTTGGTCGGAACTCCGTCGAGCTCCATTAGATACCAGAGTGCTCCTCGATCAACTGAGTCGAATGCCGCTTGGAAGTCGATGAAGCAAGCAACCGTCGGCTGTTGGAATTTGTCCCTGTGTTCCAAAATTCTTCGCAGTGTGAATAATTGATCAACACAGCCTCTTCCAGGTCGAAATCCGGCTTGATTTGGCCTTGTTCGCACGTGGCGTTCGGCCGCGAAGCGGTTCAGGAGAATGGAAACAAAAACCTTAGCAGCGATATCAATCAGACTTATGCCTCGGTAGTTCTCGCATATTGACCTGTCTCCCTTTTTGTGGAACGGTAGCAGAACTGAGGTGCTCCAATCGGAAGGAATGGTTTCGGACTCCCAAATTGAGCAGAACAGCGAGTGCAGTGCATCGATTAGCGCTGGAGTGCAGGCCTTGTATATTTCTGGGGGTAGACCATCTTCGCCCGGAGCTTTTTTGTTTCTGAGTCTGTTAATTGTTTTAGCTATTTCGGTTGGAGTGGGTGGATCGCAGTCAACTACGTAGGGTGTTGGTAAGTGTCGTATCGGTCGATGAGACGGTTGACCAGCGTCGCGATTGAGTAGCTGCTTGAAGTGTTCGGCCCATCGTTCCATCTTACCATTGGTGTCCGAAATAATTTCTCCTGATGCTGTGCGTAACACAGCATGACTGTTAAGGCGTTTGCCAGATGATTGGCGTATGAGGCGATAAAGTTTTCCGAAATCGCCTACATTTGATGCTGCTTCCATGTTAGTCGCCACGTTAGACCAATAGCGATTTCTGTCGTTCCTAGCAGACTGTGTAGCTTTGCGCCTGAGGGAGCGATAAACTGGAGACTTTGCTAGGCGAGCGTCTCTGGCTTGCGAGGATAGAAGCATGGTGTGCTCTGAAATCCAGTCTTTCTGCTTCTTGGATGTGGTACCCAAATGCGACATTGAAGCTTTAGAGACTACTTCTTTGAAATGATTCCATCGTGTCTCGGGTGTATTAGAAGATGTGGATGTTGGTTCATCTGCGGCGCTTAGTTCGGCCTGGATTTGTTTGGACAAGGCTTGTCGCTTTGTCGAACATTGAAGCGGGGCAACATTGATACGCTTCGGAGGTCGCGCCTTCTGGCGTGTCGTTAAACGAAGTTTGAATTTCGCCCTAACTAGAGTATGGTCTGATCCCCCTTTATTTCCGGCCTCTGCTCCACGATAGGATCGACAGTCTTCCACCGAGGAGATCCAGCGTGAGCGCACTAGGATGTAGTCGATCTGATGTGCAGTGCGACCGTCGTTCGAATACCAGGTGAGAAGATGTTTTCTGGGGTGTTGAAATCGAGTGTTGGTGATATATAATCGATTGTAATCAGAAAAAGCTAAAAGTCTATCACCATTACGGCAGCGCTGATCGAGACCGTGTTTGCCTAGTATATGTTTTGTCGCGTCGTCTGAAGGGCCAGTGAAAAGGCCCTAGTGGACGGAGTAGGCCTCGTCGAGACTCGAACTCGGGTCGCTGGATTCAAAGTCCAGAGTGCTAACCGCTACACCACGAGGCCACCAATTTTTTTTTCTGGCTTTATTCAAATTCACAAAGGGATAGTAAATGTAAGAATTAAATTCGTCGTTGAATAATGAATCTAGGGAACTCATCAAGACATTCAGAGAAACTCATAAAAAGGAAGACGTGTAGTGAGACTATTCATCACAACGTAAATCAGAAGGAATTTCAAGCATTGTGATATGAGGAAGGAACACAGGAAACCCTACTTGGGATTTTTCATAAGACGGGAATTCGGGCCTACCAACTCAATCAAGAACAAACTTAAGAAGTTAAAGAACCCTATTGATCCAATTGGGTAAAGTGTCTTACTTTCTATAAGATACCCTGCAATTACTGTGAGATAAACTACATACGAAAATTCAGTAGATCAGAGTTACTTAGGTTATTGGGACATAAGAATTTAGTTAAATGTAGCATAACAGACCCCAAAAGGATGACTACCTTAGAGAAAAACTCTGCAATCATAATTTATGCACTTACATACAATCATAAAATGGGGTGTAACAGTACCACAGTTCAGCAAGGTGATATAGTTAGATCACAGGAGAGGTTGATCACTGAATCTTTGTTTATCCAATCTAAACCAAACACTTAACAGAGGTATGACGCAGCACCGATAACGGTGATATCCAAAAAATAATAATAAAAAAATCAAAGGATAAGAAAGAAAATTACATAAACTAAATTTGAAATTTGTGTCATTAGTTTGATTATGACGAATAAATTGTGATAGAACACACCCTTCTAAACTGATATTTCTAGTTCCACTACCACCCAATCCCATAGCCGAATTCGGTGAGTTGGATTTTGCATCTGGTGATTGATTGGTTTCAAAATAGCACTTTGCACAGATATGCAGCAGTTCGAGCTGCTGTCACAAAGAGTGCATCCACTCCTATTATGCATTTCTACTTTCTTCTCTTGCTTTGTGTGCTACTTGAAGTGTGGCGACTTGAACTCTGCTGCACATTGGTGCAAAGTTCTATATCGAAAACAGACAGAGCTGCCACTCTCCACGCACCAAACAAAGCAAGAGAAGAAAGTAAACGGGTTTAAAAGAGAGATAATAAACTTAAATGGGAAGGGAAAATAGTAGTAATAATAATATGGAAAAACAATAGGGTTTTATTGGATACGATAAATCACAAAGAGTGAATGCATCTGCACCATTGGTTTTTACCACCACGAGGACAGAACCAGGACGCCAGTCTACACCTCTCCACACGACTGGCTTGAACTAACTATCACGGATTTCATTGACTGACGAAGCCATGGTTTGATCTAGCCACCACTAGTCCTTTTCCAACATGATCCATCCTATGTCAGCTAACACCGCCCATGGAGGAAGGCGATGACTATACACGCGTATCGCATGTCCTAGCCATCCCAACTGATGTAGCTTCACGACCTCATCGTTTGGTTTTCCCTTTTTACCAGCACTGAACGCCTAACCTCAATATCGCTCAGCTTATCCTACGACGTAACACGGAGATAGATAGAGCTTGCATATGGCACAAAATGAACATAGATAAATAATATAAGGAAGTAAAAACAAAAAACAACACATGTGTGGGGAAATTTTTATTGGTTAGAATGCATAAATGCAACTAAAATTTAAACCATTTGCTATAACCTTTAACACGCTGAAATTTCTTAGTTTCTGATTCAACTTGGTTGTCAGCTGATAGGATAATATCCTTTGATTCATCCTTAGGTGTAGAAGCATTCTCATCGAGAGTTTCCATAACATCTGATGGACGTTTATCTTTAAATATGTCTGGAAATGTGAATACTTCACCTGGAGCCTTGTTAAGAAAAAAAGTAGGTGATAAGATAGTGTAAGATTAAGTGGAAAGTATATTCATCCTGCAAGACGAAAATCGAAATAAAATAAATCAAATCAAATCATTATGACATCATGAAATAAATAGATATCGTAACTGGCGATTTTTAAGTAGTGTGCTGACACTAAAAATATGCACCTCCTTCAGAGGTATCACTGAAGTGTCACCGGGTGTGTTTGAGAGGCTGAGGGTAATTAGGCGACCTTATACAATTAAACGCCACCTTGATAACGAAATTTGTTAGTAAGGTATTTTTCGGTAAGAATCAGGCAATATAATGAAATCTTCAGAAGGACACATTCACGACAGAGAATATTTATTTTTTATTTTATCTTTGATTACAGCCTGGGTCCACACTGTATTTTTGGTAACAATATGGAATTTTGCCCGTATAAAAGACATAAATGCAGTATTTGTAACAAGTATGGTCACAAGGAAGGATTTTGTCCCCAGTGAAACCTAGATCAATCCGATCTCACAATACGATGGCACGGTCACGAAAGTTTCGATCTCGGTTGACGAAACCTCAAATCAGCAGTATGTTCGCTACCTTCAAAGTTGACTTCGAGTCAAAAAGAAAGTTTGTCACACTTTCTATCAACCAGAAGCCAGTTCGACTACAGTTAGATACTGCTTCTGATATCACAATCATATCTCCCCAGACGTGGCGGGCACTCGGGTGTCCACCTTACGTATGCCAAGCCATCGCCTCCCCCGACGAGCAATGTTAGCGGATATAGGGTCAGACTGGAAAAAAGCTAGCGGCGGTCAAACAAAAACTTGGCACCAGTCAATGAAATCCACAACAGTTGGTCTAAGCCACGTAGAAAGGTGTAGACTTCCAGTCTGGGGTCCTCGGGACGGTAAAAATCTATGGTTGGAAACAATTGGTGACATGGCTCAAAATCGTTCTCAGTGGCGCAGATGCATCCACTCCTTGTGACATATGATCTCCACCAATGAAACTGTTTTGTTTTTCTTTATTACTCCTTTGTCTCACACCTCTGCTCAGTTTCTATTATGCTTTTCTTGTACTTTCTTCTCTTGCTTCGCGTGCTACACGGAGTGTGGCGACTTGAACTGGCGCACATTTGTGCAAAGTTCTATGTCGAAAACAGACAGACAGACCTTATCAGAGAACGGAGCATACTGCAAGAAACGCGTCGGGTGACGTAATGAAATTATCTGGCCAGATTGAATGCGACGTAACTTTCCGGTCGACCTCGTTCCAAGGAACATGCTACATCACCAATCGTCATGATTTGAACTTGCTTGGTATTGACTGGATCGAAAAGATGAAACTCTGGGATGTCCTACTGAACTCAGTTTGTTCCAATGTACAGTGCTCAGATAGTCCTACCAACATGTTGATGCATCCAAACTCGACCGCAAAGTTCATCAGTCATCTTCGCACCAAACACGCTGCCGTTTTTCAAGAGTCTTTGGGTTGCTGTACCGTACAAAAAGCCAGACTATACCTCAAACCTGATGCCAAACCAGTTTTTAGACCAAAACGCCCAGTACCGTATGCCGCATTATCGTCCCTTGATGCAGAGCTGGATCGTTTAGAAAAGTTGAACGTAATCAAGCCAGTCGATTACTCATCCTGGGCAGCCCCCATAGTGGTTGTCAAGAAAGCAAACGGTACCATCAGACTTTGTGCTGATTTCTCAACAGGACTCAATAATGCCCTTGAAGATCAACCGTATCCACTACCAGTACCGCAAGATCTATTTGTCAAACTGAATGGCGGTAAATACTTCAGTAAACTTGATCTAGCTGAGGCATACCTACAGATCGAGGTCGAAGATGATTCTAAAGAGCTTCTGACAATCAACACTCACAAAGGACTGTATCAGTTCCAGCGACTTCCATATGGTGTTAAACCTGCTCCTGCTATATTCCAACAGATAATGGATGCAATATTAGCTGGTGTATCGGGAGTGGCCGTTTACCTCGATGATATCATAGTCACAGGAGAAACTCAATTCGAACTCTTCAATCGGTTGGATAAAGTCCTGACAATACTCAGTGATTCCGGTTTCCATTTACGTCCGGATAAGTGCAATTTTTTCATGACTTCAGTGAAGTACCTGGGATTCATTTTTGACAAAGATGGTCGCAAACCCGACCCCTCCAGTGTGTCAGCAATTCAACAGATGCCTGCCCCTAATAATCTCAGTACGTTGCAGTCCTTCCTGGGGATGATCAGTTACTATAGTGCGTTCCTGCCAGATTTACATCGTCTCAGGGCCCCAATGAATCAGTTGCTCATGAATGGAACTGGTCATTTTTTTTTTGAAGGATGCCAACAAGCTTTCATCAAGGTCAAGAAATTACTCCAGTCTGACCTGCTGTTAACACATTACAATCCAAAGCTGGATATAACATTAGCTGCAGATGCGTCCAACTATGGTATTGGCGCTGTCATTTCACATGTGTTTCCAGACGGTGTTGAAAAGCCAATAGCATATGCATCGCGAACCTTGACAAAGGTAGAGCAGAATTACAGTCAGGTCGAAAAGGAAGGATTAGCGCTCGTGTTTGGGATTCAAAAGTTCCACAAAATGCTGCTTGGCCGAAAGTTCACACTTTTTACTGATCACAAACCACTATTATCGATTTTTGGCTCCAAGAAAGGTATTCCAGTCTATACAGCCAATCGACTCCAACGATGGGCGACTATGCTACTAGGATACGACTTTCAGATCAAGTACAAATCTACAAAAGATTTCGGGAATGCAGATGTCCTCTCGCGTTTACTCAGCTATAACAAGCCCGCAAAGGAGGACGCTGTGATCGCCGGCGTTTCTGTCGATGAAGACGTGTGCCACGTATTGATGACGGCAATAAACACTTTACCTGTCTCAGCCGACATGGTTCAACGAGAGACGCAGCGTGACCCGACATTACAGTCAGTTCAACAGTATCTGCGTTGTGGCTGGCCCTCGCGTATTGATTGTCCAGATTTAAAACAGTTCTATCAACGACGACATTCGTTATCCCTGGTCAATGACTGCATTATGTTTGGCGAACGTGTGGTCGTGCCTCGAAGTCTCCAACAAAAAGTCATGAGTCAACTACATTTTACGCATCCTGGTATTGGCCGTATGAAATCGTTGGCACGCTGTTACGTCTACTGGCCAAATATCGATCGTGAATTAGAAGTGATGGTTCGCTCATGTTCTCGCTGTGCTCAGGCTTTGAAAATGCCTATCAAGACAGACCTACAGCCGTGGCCCAACCCAGGAAAACCGTGGTCAAGAATCCACATAGATTTTGCCGGCCCAATCAATGGCAAACAGTTTCTCGTGGTAATCGACGCGTATTCCAAGTGGCCGGAGGTTTTCATTATGCAAAATACCACAGTGACGATAACATTAAATAAGTTGGTTCAGCTTTTCAGCAGATTTGGTGTTCCAGAGATCATCGTTTCCGATAACGGACCTCAGTTTACAGCTGAACAATTCAAACAGTTTTGTGAGCGGCTAGGTGTTCAGCATATTCGCAGCCCGCCTTACCATCCTCAGTCAAATGGACAAGCAGAGCGTTTTGTTGATACACTCAAGCGCGCACTTCAGAAGTCAAACGGGGAGGGATCGATAGAGGATGTATTGCACAATTTCCTCTTCATTTATCGAACCACAACCAACCCATCATGCCCAAATCAAACATCTCCCGCAGAAGTTATGTTTGGAAGAAGATTACGTACTACTTTGGATACAATTATCCCGATCCCATCAAGACGGAGCAAATGTGGTCGAAATAGTGAATTTTGGTTCAATAGACGTCATGGCACCAAGCAAAGAAGTTTCATGGTTGGTCAGTCGGTTCTGGTTCGTGATTACATACGGAGAGATCGCCCATGGGTTTCTGGAGTGATCGTTGGAAGAAAAGGCCAAGTCATTTACAAGGTCAAGGTTGGAGACCTTATTTGGGTCAGGCATGCCAATCAAATAAGAAATAGACTAGTTGGTAAACAGTTGAACGATTCCAAGTCCGCCGACGTACAATTTGAGCTATTGATAGATACGACGGATCCGAAAACGTCACATGGCCAAAATAGTCGAAACAAAGGCAAAGTGTCCCAGCAGCCAAGGAGATCACAACGACAACCAAGACCGCCAAAGTACCTACAAGTGATTCCGCGATACAAAAGCTACCGGTAGCCCTATCTTAAAAGGGGAGGTGTTAAGAAGAGGCAAAACACATGCAATTATCAGGTCATTATCATGTCTCAGTCAAGTTATCATAGCGTTATTAACAAGTCGTTGACATGCAATTGTTCCTGCTTCTGATTGCACGCTTGTACAATTCCAACTCTCAACCGGATTGGTTGATTTCCAGTCTACCATATTTTCTGTATAAATACAGTCACTTTTGTCATAATAAATGAATCTGGTTTTACCGCTGATTATCGTGTGTTCTGCTATACCAGTTAAGTGGGCACTGGTCAGTAGTTAAGCAGTGGCCTCGTGACAAAAGATCTAGCATCATAACAATTTTACATACACTTGTAAACTTTTTTAATAAATAGGTGTGATAACCTTAAATAAGACTAGCCATGAACTGCTGTATCTCTTCGAAGTCAATTAGCTTTAAAATAAATCTACATCTTCAGGTGCAATCTGTGCAATCATATCTCAAGCTGTCATCACGATGATGAAAGAATTCATTTTTCATTGCATTCAGGATATCGGCAGAGAAAACTTTCGACCGGAAGGCCCTAAATTGAATAATGTGTAAACAGCTAAAGGTGGGAAGCTAACTGAACACTGTAGTTTAATGGGAAAGTTACACTTAACACTGTAGATAACTCACAGTAAAAGTGAAGAACGCTAAGAAAATTACTTACCAGACCAATATATGTAGGATTTCCATCAAAAATTTTACTCATATATCTGCAGTACAGTCTTCGACACACTTGCTGTATTTTTTTATTATAGCTTGATTCCACACCGTATTTTCGGTACAAGTATGACATTTTCAGCATGTGATTTCGGTAGCCCAAATTTTGAAGGCCGGCTATTGATATCAGGTGTGCATCGGGCACGGATCGAACCCCGGACCATGTGAATGGTCGGCGAAAGTCCTAACCGCTGTGCCACCGACGCACAATTGGAAACTTTGAAAGTTATAAGCCAAAGGTATGCACTGACTTCATAAATATTTTTAATGACTGCACAGCGACTAGGAACAGACTAATGGTGAACTTTGCTAAAGTATATCACGATTTTTCCTTACTAATCTAAAATACCACAATAATAGACTAAGAAACTACATATATAACAGGAGTGGATAAACTTCGTACTATCCACAGTTAACTGACGGATACCATAATGAAGGTGAGTTAGACTGATTCTATACAAATTATGTTTTGTATTATGTCATCGGTAGATAAAAAGCTTGAGTTATCTTCAAAGAACTTACTAGTCGTACGTACGCAACCTTTTCATAGCGCTCAGGCTTAGGAGGGAAAACTGTGGCATCTATTGAACGTTGCATACGTTCCTTTGGATGTGTATCGATTGGCTCCACTGAAATAAGAAGATAATATAATAGGAATCGTTAGTTACAGTCGTGATAAACCATCTTCACTCGTACATCTGCAACCGGAACTTTGTATATTTTCTCCAAATACTGTCGAACGTCATTCCCAGTCATCCTGGGATTATGAACTATTTGCTGCTTACTGTGGATGAACTTTGAAAACAACGTGGTCAGGAGGATTTTTTGGGCCAGGATACATCATTTTCATCCAGAACGGGGGTAGGAAACAACTTACAGGTGGATCCCCCGGAAACACTCTTGGATACTCCACCTGTCTCATCCATAAAGGACTAAAACTCAACTCCTAAAAATGAAGCCTACAAATAATGTTTTGTCTTCGGTAAACATATTGGGCGGATAAAAACCACTGGTCGTACCGCCGCCATTTGAGCCTAGTTCGCTTCAATATACAATATCCCCCAGATGATCTTGAAAAATTCTTATGACTTTTTGACGCCTGCATCTTGTTGTTTCGATATGTCTCTAGGCTTTCGGTGGAATACAGGGCGAAGTTAAAGTACCATAGCTAAAGCCAAGATCTTTCAAGATATGACCTTCAGGAATCAATCAGACACAGGTCGTTTCAAATAAAATTATGCCAGCCTTTCTGGACTTGGAGAAGGCAGATACAGTATTCCATTTTTCTCCACGTACTCTTTCTGTGAATATCAGCTGTTACCTAGAGTTATTATTTTTTAGATTACGGCCTTAAGTCTAAGGTTAAGGTTATGATTAGGATTAAATTTAGGGTTAGGGGAAGGATTATGGTCAGAGTTATGATTAAGTCAAACGGTGGTGGCAGGAATATCAACAGACCACAAAGTACTACGACCTACAGACACCCGGATAAGTGCATCTATACCTCATGGCAGGATTTCCCTATGGATCATGTCTGTAGGGACTGGGAGAAATTCTCGCAAAACATAAGCAGAAACTACATTCAGATTCAGATGATAAGGATAGAAGGCTCTTGTGGCCTGTGTTAATCCTTGCAAAATATATCTCTGCAGAGATCTAACTTCTCTTTGAAAGCGTTCACTGATGGGTCTGATACTACTGAATCAGGTAAGGAGGTCCAATCGTTGACCACTCTGTGAGAGAATCTAAATTCTGCACGTATTTTAATCGTCCCCGTTTTGAGCACCATTTTGCAGTGACCCCGTAAATGTATCCTAGAAGGGGAGAAAAGGTTAGAAAGGTCAGTTCCTAAATCACCCTTAAGTATACGGTATGCTAAAATTAAGTCGCCTCTCTTCCTTCGGTATGATAACGGGAAGAGATTTAAATGCTCCATCCTCTTATCATAAGGCAATTGTGAGATACCACTAACTAATTTTGTTCCTACTCTCTGTACTCTTCCCAGAATATGAGCCTCCTTTTTGAAGCATGAACTCGTCGCTTGTATGCAGTATTCTAGATGAGGCCTGACATATGTTGCGTAGAGTATTTGGAACATGCCCTCGTCTAATCGTTTGAAAGCCCTTCGATTTGCCCATAGCATTCAAAAAGCTTTAGTTGCGGCTGCATTGCAATTTGCAGTTGTTTTCAAATTATTGCCGACAATGATTCCTAGGTCCCTCTGTTCGTTAACATCAGGTAGTTCTGCGTCCCCTAGGGAGTACGACGCATAAGACTTCTGACCTAAGTGCATTACCGCGCTTTTCCTAGCATTTATTTCCAAACTCCATAGGCTTGACCACTCGGCTAATTTATCTAAATCAGTTTATAGGGCCGACCTATCCTCGTTATTATTTACAGTTTTCCATATCTTAATGTCGTCTGCAAATAATAATGAAGATGAAGAAAGAATCCCTGGTAATTCGTTAACGTATGATAGGAATAGCAAGGGACCTAATACAGTTCCATGGAGCACTCTACTGGGTACTGCTTTCCATTCTGATAGTACACCGTTAACTCTAACTTTATGCCTTCGATCCATTAAGTAATCTCTAAACCACTCACATAGGCATTGGTCTAGTCCGAAACCTTTGAGTTTACTAAGGAGACCCAAGTGGGATACTTTGTTGAATGCCTTGCTAAGATCAATAAAAACCACGTCCAACAGATGGTACCTATCTCTGGCCTCAACCCAGTCTTCCCTAGCCAATAGTAGGTTTTTCAGGCAGGATCGTCCTGGTCGGAATCCATGCCGTTCCACAGCCAACAAGCCATGTGTTTCAACATAAGCTAATAGTTGATCCCTTATAATAGTTTCCAATACCTTTGCAATAATGCATGTCAGACTTACTGGCCTGTAGTTAGATACCAGTTACCTATCCCCGTCTTTGAAGATATGGCTTATAATGGCATCCTTCCAGTCCCTGGGTAGCTTAGCCTGCGTCAGAGACATTTGGAAAATCTCCGTGAGCGGCATATATATTATATCCGCCACCATTATATGACATTATTGCTTCTGAGTTCTGATTGGTCATTCAAGGTGCACTAGTTTTTTCATAATAGCTTAACTTTGCCGATTCCAGTATGGTCTAACCACTGGATTGCCACATGAGAATCAATTAAATTAGCATGTTTTGAAGGGGACTTAGCTGGGGGGGCAGACAGGTAAATTTGGGGGAAATGTAGTGAAAATGGGCAATTTTAATCAGATGAGCTGCAAACAGGAAGTGAGTTGTCACTCTTAACTATTCTCTTAAAAAAGTAATTGAACACTTACCGGGCTTCCTCACATTTTCGAGGGAAAAAGTTGCCGACTTCTCTCCAGTGTGATTTCGAGCAATATCAAACTGCTGTTCGCTTCTAATTATGAACTGAATGTTAACCACGTCTTTAAAAGGTTTACAGATGTTTTGGAAAAATTTATTCGACTTGAGATATGTTAATTGTGTATTGGAGATTCTTGGACTCATAAGTTTCATTTTACCTAGCGGTTTTCCTGTTAGGTTGGCAGGTACTCCAGAGAAACAAGCAGTAAGCAAGTTGAAATGAAATCTAGGGAGTGAGCAGACAGATTAAATGGAAGTAACGGCGAGAGAATTAAATTTAGGATATGTAGGCCGGTTGGGGCATACACGTGAAAGAAATAAAGGAGGAGAACAGAAAGAAAATACTAATGGTGCTGGTAACAGGACAAAAACCAGGATAGGATAATGGAGTATATAAAAATAAGTTGAGGGATTCGGCGTCACACTCACAACATTTAAACCAGTAAACGAAAACAATACTGAATACTGAGCTCTTGCAGTGGCCAACACATTCTTACTCTAATTAAAACACAGGTATCTGGAAGAGGGGACATTCTATGTATCTGAATAGAGTCATGTGCAAGTCTGCCTTTAGAAAAATTCTTCCTGATACAATCGGTAATATTGGTATGAGTAACACAATAAAAATTGGGAAAATTGACACGGATACTAGTGTAATTTTCCGCATGCTTTTTAACCCAATATTGGAGAACAAAAAAGAGGAGACACCATTCCTGACCTCTCACTTAGATCAAAAGTAGGAAGATAGGAGTGAAACAAGAATCTCGGTGAAGAGTATCTTTTAGTGAACAACCTAACTGCTTTACTTATTCCTTTGTGTTTCTCTGATCCTTTCTGACTCATAAACCCTTCCAAACACTTAGGCAACCTGAAACTCCTTTGTCTCTGTGGGCATCCTCATTACCACTAATTATCTTTGTGTAATCCTGTCACCTTTATTAATAATAATATATTTCTTCCTGTTTATGCAGGAACATACCAATTGTACAGGCATGGATAAGTTATTATATAAATTACACAAATTGATGTATGATGAATTTACAGTTTGGTTGTTCTTTCTGACATTAGAGTCAGACGGAACAGTCTGCTATAAAGTCTGTTTGTGTAGCACATAAAGAGATATAGAGATATTGTCTTCGCATTAAAAAAAACCCAGACATCAGATGAATGTAATGCGGATATCTGGGAAAAAAAGCTTGAAGTCAATCCTCTTACATAACTTTGTTGTGAACAGCACCCTCGGCTCAAAGTTTATTGATGTATTATGTTGAGATCAGTGATATATTTATTCCATTTTTTCAGTAGTCTTATCGTAGTTTTATAACAGGAAAGAAATTTGATCGGGGATGCGAAAACTAGATGAGGTCATGTGAAGTTGTTTTACTGCATCAAATGGTGCTGAGGTCGGTTCCAGAATTCTCCATTTGCTCCATTTGTGTCTGCATGGCGGACTGCATTCGTAAGTTCAGAAAAATGTTGAAAACTGTTTGAAAACCAGTTGCTTCTTCATTTCAGATCATGAATACTCATTTACAGCATGTTCGCCAGCGTCTTCAAATGGTAGAATTGGATCGTTCATGGAATTTGGGTGGTTATGAGGTAGATGGTTTGGAATTAATCCTCATTTCAGTTTAGATGCAGGGTTGTTCGACCTCGACCAGAAGATGAATAGGAGTATCAGAGTACCAAAAAGAGAAAGTATGTGAACATTAAAAGGACATTAATGTATATATATAATTGTTTATGTCAATTGTATAATAAATTATTAAGAAATTATTTTTAGTTATAGTTCTTTTTACGTATTTATGCGAAGTCTTAGAGTCTATTTAGTGTCATGATGTGTATTAATGAGTCTGAGCGTTTTAGTGTTCTAATGACTGATGCGTTTTAGAAGTAAGTAATGAGTTCTGGTAGGGATAGACTTTGGGATAAAACAGTTTATATAGCAAGCGTTTGAAGGTTACAATAAAGTGACACGTCCTATTTCTTAGGGTAAACTAATCCTGTATGTTCCGTACTAAGTCTTTATGCATCCATGCTGCTAGTTTATTTATGGTTTTTAGATTGCTAAGGGTGTTGAAGTGCGTCTTTTAGGTGCTGTAGTAGATTAGTGGTTGATTCGTTTTAGGAGTAAATAGTTTATTAATATAATCAGTAGAGTGAAACAGTCTATGCAGAGAGCGTTTGAAGCTTGTAACCGAAGAGCAAGTTCTGACATCTAGGGGCAGGCTATTCCATATTTTAGAATACATGACTGTGAAGAAGTTTTCACGGAGTGTTGACCTAAAAGAATGAGTTGTCACTGTGGAAGTTTGGTTACGCAGATCGTAAGAACCTTCCTGTGCGAATTGTATGTCCCTGTTACCTGAGAATGATATTTTGTGAAGGACCTTAAAGAAGAATATTAGGTTTATAATAAGTCGCCTTGTCCAAAGTGGGTCAAGTTTTAGGATCATGCACCGTGAGATGTAGTCTTTCTTACAATCATAGCCAAGTAGTTTTGAGGTAAAATATCGTTGGATACTTTCCATCCTTAGCTTATCACGTGTGCGAGTGCTGCTTATAATAAATGGACAGTATTCTAGTAGTGGTCTGACACATGTTTTGTACAGAATTAGCTTGGCTTCATTGTCGTGAAAGTTCCTGAGTATGCATCCTAAGAGCATCCTCGATTTTCTAGTCTGTGATGCTACTTGCTCAGAGAATGTCAAGTCACTAGAGTACCTCAGGCCTAGGTCAACGACACTTCGGAGTCTGGTTAGGTTAGCGGATTGAAGCGTTAATTTCAGGTCAATTGAGGGTGCACCGAAGCAGATCCAGCCACATTTTTTCAGATTGAATTGGAGATTCCATAGGGACGACCAAGCAGTCATTTTATCTAATTCCTTCTGCACTACATTCTCGAAGTTCCCTAAGTCATCACTTTGGAATGTATAAGCTACTTTTAGGTCATCTGCAAAGATGAATGGTTTCCCGTGCGTGAAGCAAGCGCATATGTCATTGATGTATAGTGTAAATAGGAGGGGTCCAATGACACTACCTTGTACTACACCAGAAGTGATAGGGCTAGGTTTGGAGGTTGCAGACCCGAGTTTAACTATTTGGGACCTATTGTTAAGGAATGATTTAAGCCATCCTAATAATGGGTCACGTATTCCTAAGGAGTTCAGCTTATTTGTTAGCAGTAAATGGTCAACACGGTCAAATGCCTTAGAAATGTCAAAGTAGATGACAAGTACTAGTTGCCGTCTGTCACGACTGCTGGTTACAAAATTGAAGAAGTCTAGGTGACATGTTAAACATGATCTGGATTTCAGGAATCCATGTTGGTTCGGACTTATAATATTGCAGCTAAGCATATGTTTGATTAGGTTATCTTTGACTAGTCTCTCCATGATTCTAGATGCTATAGGTGTGATATTGATCGGCCGGTAGTTACTGACTTCAGTTTTCGAGCCAGATTTGTGTTTAGGCATAATGAATGTTGTCTTCCATATGTCAGGGTAAGTTTGAGTTTCTAGGGACATTGTGAATATTTTAAGAAGCAGTAGAGGAATGTCAGGGCCACCATATTTATAGAAGTAAGATGATATACCGTCGGTACCGAAACCTTTTGAACTTTTGAGGGTTCTTATAGTTTGGTTAATATTAGCGTAAGTGAATTGAACAGTGCTGATTTTATTTGGTGTGAGTGGAGATGGAGTTTGTGTCATATTAGTAATAGGGTGTATATCGAGTAGCTGGACTGAGGGCTTAATGTAGTTACCTGCAAACGTTTTGTTGAATAGTTCACATATGTCTGCAGAGTTAGTGCATAGCCTACCTTTGTCTATGAGGAGAGAAATGCTGTGATTTTTGCGATTCATTCGCTTCCTTAAGATTTCTGTGAGTGCATACACTCTAGCAGGACTGGCTACTGCGATGCGTTCTTCCTTTCTCATACGGTGATCTCGAGCTTGTGAGATGGAGCTAAGGGTGTTAAGTATTAGACCTAGAGTGCCAAAGTCGTGGTGTTTGAAGTAACTTGTTGAGAGTCTCTTCAGTTTCGTACGATCCTTTGGTTTTATGAATGACTTTCTGTGTGGGGAAACCTTTAGTGTTTGGAGTGGAATGACAGCATCTAAGCATGTGTTAGTGTTATGGTAGAAGATGGTTAGGGCTCTCGATAGGTCATCAGTAGTGAAGTATTCATCCCATTTGGAGGATCTTAGCATTGATTCTACCAAGGCCCAGTTTGCCTTACTATAGTTCCTATATATTACTTGTTGTGAAGTGGAGGTATGAGATGCATTGCTACTCAGCGGAAGTGGCAGTGCACATACCACTGTTTTGTGGTCGCTCCCTGGAAACTCAGAACCTACTAGCGTTGAAAGGGGGCTTATATTGTGGCAGAAGATTAAGTCTAGTACGTTATTACCTCTTGTGGGAGTAGTGACAGTTTGTTTCCAGCCAAGTATATCCAGTGTGCCTAAAAACTTATCAAATTTAGTTGGGCCTGTGGGTATATCCCAGTTGATTTCAGGTAAGTTAAAGTCCCCACATAGGATCTTATGGTCGTATTGTAAGTCGGATAATTGCTCCAGAGTATTAATAAGTTGGGTCTCGTAATTACTAAAGGTGCCAGGTGCTCTGTAGGTGCATCCAATTAATGCTGTTACGTTATTTAAGTGTACATTAACCCATAGAGTCTCAGGCATGTTAAGTGTACTACTTTCTAGCTGTGATACAGTAAGTGCATTCAGAAAGTACATGAGACAACCCCCTCCCTTACCACCTTCCCTGTCACACCGAAAGTGTGTGTAGTTATCTAAGCTTATTTCTTCATCCAAGATGTTCGAATGACACCAAGATTCAGTGATGACAATTACAGGGGGTTTGTATATTACTGTGAGTGCTCTGAGCATCGGCAATTTATTTAGAACAGATCTAGCATTTATGAGGATTAGGTAAAGATGAGAGTTGAAGTAGCATTTGAAGTATTTAAGTTCGTTAGTCAGCCCCGAATATGGTTCAGCACCCAGTAGTTCTGCTTGACATGATGATCCTATGTTAAGAGGAGTTTCAGCATCATGCTCACCTATGTCTACCGAGTTGGTGTGTGCTGTTTTCGGTGAAGAATTAAGAGTTGGAGTACTGGATTTGCTATAGACCAAGGAATTTTTATTTTTAGTTAGGTTACAGAAGTGGGTAGGGTTCTTTATTTGACCTATACTTGTGCAGGTGTCAAGTGTGCCTAATGGATACGGGTGCACTAGACCGTTCCTGTTTTCATGCAAGGAGGGAGCCAGCTCTAGTGGTTTAGGAGTGTTAACATCCCTACCAGCTGTTTTTTCAACGCTGACAGGGACGCGGGGGATAAAAAATGATTGGATCCTTTGATGACCATGGCTTATTATTCCACCTATTGTTTGATGCTAGTTGTGTCCTTGTGTGGGTTTCATGTGTACTGCATTGTGGGTTAGTTCCCAGCAGACTTGTACCATATATCCGGTCAAAATTTGTTTGTGTGCCATACTCTGAAGACCCTAAGTTGTTGATAGCCGAGTTCTGACTATTACCACTTGTACTATTGAGGGTGACATTGTTGTGACATTGGATATCAGTGTGTGCCATGGTGCGATTTAGCACGTTGTGGGTGCTAGTACTATTGACCGTGGGAAGTGTGGGTTTATTTAAGCTGCCACTGTTTTTGTTTGTATGGTTTAGGGGCATATTTTCCTTACCTTTAGCAATGAAGTTATGGCTAGGAGAAGACAAAGTGGAATTTCGGGGGGTTTTGACTTTTTTTCTGGGGTTATTTAATGGCATTTTAGATTCTGCGGTGATAGGTGGTATGGTTTTATTATTTATTTGGTTACAGTCTAGTGGCCTTTCGGCTGGTGTTGCACTCTGATGGGATAATTCTGTGTGTTTTGAGAGGGGTGATGCGGTGGGGTCTACTGTATCTTTCACAGGGTTGGGAATAATGGCTGCTTGCAATGTCCTATTACCTATTTCACAATTAGTCTTAGCAAGATAGTTGTATGCGCGCCTTTCTATGACTGTTTTGTCCACCCCGACCTTTATATGTTTGTAGTTTCTGGCTTGCGATAGGGTGTGTTGGGAGTGGATGAATTTTCTGGTCTCTGCCGGTGTTTCGAACTGAAAACGAATAGGACAACACTTCTCA